GATTAAATGCTGATTTAAATTATTTTACTCATAATGATTACCTTCCCTGCTTTTAAAATGTAAAATAAAATAGTTTAGTGAAAGTGCCACATTTCACTGCTTTTAGACTGGTGTGGAACTAGTTACTATCGGGCTGGTTCGTTTTTGGCGAAAAAGAACTAGTACTGAACTAGAAATCTGGTTTACTAGTTCGTGTTTTCCCTTCAGGGTAACAGCAAAGGTTTGCGTACACCATTTCTTTTTTAAATATTCACAATATATTGAGAGTTAAAATTTGTTTGTTATTATTTAAATGATCATGTTTAAAACAAAATCATATAAACCGTGTTTTAAAACATTATACAAAACAAAGTTAAATTTAACGATTTTTCATCAAAATGTTTGACCTGTTAATCAGATTTAAAAAAAAAAAAACAAAAGTGACAAACAATCTCACTTTGATATGAACGATACTGTACATTCCAGCGCATCACCAAAAAAGGTTGGGATTTTTTCGCCGTAATTACAAAACTTATTATATTTTAAGACGTCCAAAATATTTTGGAAAAATATTAAGATTTAAGCGAGCTGGACGAAAATGGAGTTTTTTATGAATAAAAATAATTTCTTAAAGAATTTTTTGAAAAAAGTGCTCTCAGATGACAAAACAGATTAGGCTTAAAAAATCTGCATAAAAATATTTAAAAATCTTTTCAACGGAGTCGTAATAATGAGATTTTTGATGCTATTTTTTTACTTTTTTCACAGATTTATTTACGAAAAACTAAAATAGCTGGGCCAAAACTATTCTGATTTAGGCTTATGGGATCTCAGTAGAAAGGCATTTTCTCATTATTTTCATTTATGTGCAAAAAAAGTACCGCCACTCGATAGTTTTCGAAACGATAGTTGAAAACATCGATAGTACCGATAGTACTATCGTCGTGAGAGGTGTTGAATTGAGATGCTCAATTGCTTAAAAATTTATAAATTACTTACCAAAAAGAACTTCTTATAATAATAAAATAAACTTATTAATTTATACGTCTGAATTATATATACATATGTTTGTCCCTTTTGAAGTGCAAAGAAGTGAAATTGGCTATAATAATACATTTCTAATACTACAAAACAAAACAAAAGATATTCGTTTAAATTGACAACTCATACTTATAAAAGTTCAACTGAGATGAAATACGGAGGCGCATATCTAAATCCGGACAAAGAAAATTATTAACATTTTACCATATTATAAGAAAACGAATAAAGTACTGGTCAAAATAATAGCACCAAAACATTTTTAGCAGTTTTGACTATTTTTTGTTTGTTTAGTGTCTACTAATTTTTTATAAATGTTGTACAAAACATAAAAACTAAAAAATCACTAAAATTTCAAGCTCTTTAGTTCCAATTTCTATAAAAATTTTGTGTGAGCGGTTTTATAGCTTATTAAATTTTACTATAACTCAGTGTTGGCAAAATTTTCTTGCTAAAAAATCTTTTGTTACAATACTTCATTTTATTCCTTTGATTGTACAGGTTAAATAAAAGCTTGTTTTTAAAAAATATTTTTTTTTACATTATTTTATTTTATAGTTTTTAGTCCATTTATAAAAGCGTTGTATATTAAAAAGTGTTATTTTATTTTATTTAAAAAATTTTGCAATAGATATTAAAATAATTCAACTTGCAATGAAAGAAAACAGAAGACTTGGCAAGCAAAATGTTTGCTTACGTTTTGTATAAACATACATATGTTCATATAGCAGCAGTTAATTTTATTTAAAGAAATGGCGTGTCGTCCATTTCCGCTGTAGCATGGCATATATTTAGGCGCAATATTTAACTTCTTCTGGCGGGGCGACATCTGGAGTCTTTTAATTGTATCTCCTTGATATGATGCCTAGAACGAGGTTCATATCTAGACTAGGAATAGCTTTGCATCTTTAACAATTTTATAGTGGTTTTACGTTCTTTGGCAAATTACGCTCTGTTACCCATAAATCTTACTATTTTTTGACCGCCCTGTACCATATGGAGAATTCATTTACATTTTAAATTGCATTGTCATCGTGATTGGAACTATGCTGTAAATTTCAAGTCTCTAACTTGTCGGGAAGTCAGTTTAAAATCGATTGGAAATTTCCGCGATTTGCGCGGGATGACCAAGTTAAATAAACGCTTATAAAAATCAGCGCGATTAATTATACTAAAATTTAATGGGCTATCGAAATGCATACATTTAAACTCTGATTTAAAATATTGAAGTTTTTATAACAGTTTCTAGAATTCTACTAAACTCCCAACATAGTTAGAAACGCGAATTTATTTGTTTATGTTATAATACTTATGAGCCACCCTTAAATAAAAAAATTACGAAAAATATTTAGCATGAAAACCATTGTGAATATTCAAAATTTTATATGTTCTTATTAGATGCCGGAGAGTCTATGTATTACATTTCAATACATTTAATACAATTTAACGCTGAGTTGTCACAAATAAGCATTCAATATATCACCATTTTTTTCATTTTTTGACACGACTTAGTTCAGATTTTTAATTATAAGTATTCCAGAAGTACCCATTATACGTAAAAAATATAAATTATTTTTAAGAATAACTGTTCTAGAAAATGAAGGAATAATTGAGACTTTATGTTCCTAATTTTGGAGCACAGTTTGCCTCAAAAAGTAAATTTGTGCAAATAAATAGCTCTTTAAACATAAAATCAAGTATTTTTTATTTACAAAATTGTATGCATGCTTATTTAAAGAAAAGGCTCTATACTATACTTCTTAGAACCAGCTCAAAACTAACCAAATTTTTTCTAGCCCAGAGGTGACCCTTTTTGAACTATCTATGAACTTTTGTTATATGAACTGTCTCAGAACTATCTAAGCCAGAGTCAGCTCAGAACAAGTTCAAAAGTTCTGCAGAGGGCGAAAGTTGTCACTTCGTAGGACATCGCCATGTTAAAAAAGACAGTTGAAAGCATTGAGTTGGGATAGATGAAGAACCAGTACCGTCCCTTTTCAGGCTAGCTCAGCGCAAGTTCTGAACCAGTTTGATTTGCTGCAGGGACTTTACTTCTCTTCACTATCTGCGCTCTCAGTGAGAGGGAGAGAAGGGAGCGTATTCACTAGAAAACTTCAATGTGAAGCCAAATATTTTCCGATGCAGACCTCTAGTATGTACTTCCAAATACGTTTTTGTAGAGTTGTTAGGCTAGCTTAAATTTCAACCATTTAGGGCTGAATTCACAGTGCGTAGTTAACCATTGACAAGGGCTTAACTATCGATCGACTTTCATATTCACAGTGCTCAGTTAACAAGAGTTTAAACCAGCTCTTAACTCTAGTTAAATTTAAATTTTGTTTGAAGAATGAGAAATATAATATAATATATAATCTCTTAATTAAAAAAGTTAACTTTACTCCTTGATCATGTTTAAATTGCGATTTCCACACATGCATGTTAGTGCTCACATAATCTTACTAATCTTATCTTATCTTACTCTTACTATATTATAAATGTGAAAGTTTGTATGTTTGGATGTTTGGGAAATCATCACGCGGAAACGACTGAACAGATTTGCATGAAATTTGGTACGCAGATAGCTTATAGGCCAAATTGGTTAATAGGCTATTTTTTTAAGAGTTGCCACCTGTTAAAAAAGTTTCATTTATTTAATATGCGGGAACTACTGAATAAATTTGGATGAAAATTTGCACACAGATAGTTTATGACCTAGATTGGAAAATAGGCTACTTCTATTAAGAGTTTCCATCTGTTAAAAAAGTTCCTTTAAATTAATACGCAGAACAGTCTGAACGGATTTGCATGAAATTTTGCAAGCAGATAGCTTATGACCTACAGTGGAAAATAGGCTAATTTTTGGGAAGAGTTGCCACCTGTTAAAAAAGTTTAATCAAATTAATACGCGGAAACGACTAAACAGATTTGCATGAAATTTTGCACACAGATAACTTATCACCTAGGTTAGAAAGTAGGCTACTTTTTTAAGAGTTGCCACCTGTTGGAAATGTTTAATTTAATTAATACGTGGAAATGATTGAACTGATTTGCATGGAAGTTCTCACACAGATAACTTATGCGGTAGGTTGAAAAACTGGCTAATTTTTTTAAGAGTTACCACCTGCTAAAAAAGTTTTATTAAATTAATGCGCGGAACATTCTGAACGGATTTGCATGAAATTTTGCAAGCAGATAGCTTATGATCTACAGTGGAAAATAGGCTAATTTTTTTGAAGAGTTGCCACCTGTTAAACAAGTTTTAATTAAATTAATACGCGGAAAGGACTGAACAGATTTGCATGACATTTCGCGCAGAGATAGCTTATGACCTATGTTGGGAAATAGGCTACTTTTTTAAGAGCTGCCACGTATAAGAAAAGTTTAATTAAATTAATACGCGCAAATGACTGAACTGATTAGCTTATGACCTAGGTTGGAAAGTAGGCTACGTTTTTAAGAATTGCCACCTGTTTGAAAATGAAATTTTGCTCAAAGATGGTTTATGACCTGGATTGAAAAATAGGCTACTAGGATGGTCTTAGACTGAAAGTAAGTCCGATAACTCAAGGCCCCTCCCATACAAATTGGAATTTTCATATTGCATACATATCTCTGGAAGTATTTGTGGTAGAGAACTAAAACTTGGTATAGTGATATGTATCTGAAATCAATGATGGCATTAATCGATTGATGTTTTAATCAGTTAGTTAATTCGATTAAATTCAATCTGATTACAGTTAATCATGATTAATTTTAATCTGACTAAACAGTTAGTCGTAACCGCGATTAAAAAATTAATTTTTAATCATTAACTCTTAATTTGATCAAGTAGGTGCGGTGATTAATTAAGTTATGCTGGAATTTCCCTGTACACACAAAGCAAGTTAATCCGGTATGGCTAAGTCGGGCTTCCTCATCAATCTAAGCAATTTGGTGTGCATTTTTATTAAGATATAGACCAACAAACGTTTTACAAGCTAGGTTTGCAAAAGTTCCCAGTTTATGTATTACTAATAACAATAATTATAATTTTTTTATATTATGTGCTTTTTATAAGCGTAAAACACAAAATAATTACTATAACTGGTGTTTGGTTTCAAACTCGGACAAACTAGACAAATTAATCAGATTTTATTTTTAATTGGATTAACGATTATTGTTTTAAATTAATTAAACGTAATCGCAGCCAGCGATTATCGATTAAAAAAATGTTATCACTAATCGTACAGTTGATTACGACTAATTAATTTTAATCGTCAAACGCGATTATAAATCGTTAATTTTTAACCGTTAATCAGATTAACAGTTTGCCAACACTGTGTGAAATCATGTTCATATTCACGGAGAAAAAAGGACGTTTTTGGAAAAGAGGCATAGCACCTCCCATACTGACTGAATGTTTCATATTGCATATCTCTTCAAATGTTTGGGGTAAAGCACTCAAGCTTGGTATGGAAGTACATATGTATGTATATATGTGAAACTGATACCATACTCATGGAGAAAAATGAGAGTTATTGGAAAAGGTGGTGTGGCAACTCCCATGCAAATTGATTTTTCTTTGCTGCGTATCTCTGGAGGTGTTTATTGCAGAGGACTGGAACTTGGCACCCTGATGTGTATACAAAATTAATTCCATACTCATGGAGAAAAATTTGCGTTATTCGAAAAGGGGGCATGGTTCCTCCCGTACAAATTTACTGTTTTGCACTGGTTATCTCTAGAGGTGTTCCTGGTAGAGTACTGGGACTTTTTACTGGGGTATGTAAAATCGATTATAACCTCATGGAAGAAGATTAGGGTTATAAGAAAACGGGGTGTGGCACTTCCAGTACAAATTTACTTTTTCTTGCCACATATCCCTGGAAGTGTTTGTGGAAGGATACTGAAACTTGGTATGGAGTTGTGTATGCAAAATGTATCAATTGCTCATGGAAAAAATGTGAGTTATTAAAAAAGGACGCATGTCGCCTCCCATACACAATAAAAACTTCATAATACATATCTCTGGAAGGATAGAAAATCTCTCGAAGTATTTAAATATGTTATGGAGGTTTTTTTTTATAAGTGCCGTACTGACAGAATAAATTTCATTAAAGGGAAAAGGGAGAGCCGGGTACGGCCTTATAATCTAAAGCTCTCTTGAGGCATTTGCTACAGTAATGAGAAGTGGTATTTTATCAAGGCCAGGTTACTAAATTTGAGTTGGAAATATTAGAACCCGCCGTGGCACCTCCAGGAAGGTTACACGTTCACGCGTCGTATACCTGGAACCATTTTAAGGTAAACTTAGAGGGATTGATATCTTCCGTATTTTATAATTTCATAGTTTTAACCTTAACTCCCTAAAAAATTACGAGCTATAACGAAATGGGTACAGAAATAAAATCTAACATCTATAATTTTTTTCATATTTGTATAAAAACACGGGGTGAAACCCGCGGGTATAAGCTAGTAATAATAATAATAATAATAATAATAATAAGGGGTGGTATCGAAATTCTGGTACTACACAATTCGTTTTCAAAATAAAAAAAAAATATGTTGCAAAATATACTATGGCAATTCATATAAACTCGTAAATGCCTCGTAACCTTGTAAACCTCTTAAACTTGCTTAATTTTGTATCGAAAACTGGTTTATTTACGAGGTTTACGCGATTACGAAGCATATGCGCGTTTCTATGAATACCTAAAATGTAAACAATGTTAAAGAGAGCATGTCATTACTTTGAAGAGTGCGAACTTTTTCAAAGTAATGACATGTCCTATTTAATATTGTTTACATTATATTTTAATATAGAAATTTGATTTTCAGTATTTTTAATTAGTTTGATAAAGGGTGGAACGCAACTAAAATATTCATGTGTACAAGTGATAATACCACCAAAAACTTTTATTAATGGAAATAACGGGCGCGTTCATAAGGCGTAGCTGTTTAGCTCATCTGCTATGAAACTGTTGGCAACTGTTGAACCTAACAATTACGTCTTAGAAGCGGTTTTATGAATATGCTGCTAAATGAACAGCTGATAAATGTAAACAAATGAAATTGCAATAAATAGAGATAGTTGGGCCGATAGTATTTAGAATTCAACGCCGAGCTGCCGCCGTGTTGAAAAAATCGTTCAATGTTATAATGAATTAAACAGTGTATAATTATATAGCAAACATCATAAAAAACATATATTTAGAACGTAGTATTATTTTAAAATATTTTAGCTACTTTATCACATCATTAATATA